ATCTATCTATCTATCTATCTATCTATCTATCTATCTATCTATCTATCATAATCTATCATCTATCATTGTCTATATATTCTTGACTAATTTGATTAATTCAAGTCGAAGAGAGCCCAATCACAAAGCAACCTACGCAGCATACAAAGGGGGCTAAAATAATAACCAGAATAAAATAAATAAATAAAACAATGGCAATATTGTCTACTGTTGGAGCTTTTTTTAAAAAAAACATGACACACAAATATACACACGCACACCTACACAGCCTACACACTTATACAAAAACCTACACACAAAGAATATTTTATGTAACTGACCTATAGCAGCTAACCACTGTACAGCTGTTTAAATATGCAATGTTACATTATGAAATTTACTTATTTTTTTGGCTTAAATTCCATAGGACAGCAAGAAGTTTGCTCTTGGGGCTGGTTTGTCCTCCAAGTGACACCACAGAAGTTAGTGCCCAGTTTTTTCATAGCAGAGAGTAATGTTGCTACTGGAGTTGGCAAGGTTTTTCGCCAAGAAAAGTGACCTCATGCTTTTTTCCCCCCTATTTAAAACAGTTCATCTTCAGGACTTGGCCAGAAAGATAAAAAAAAAAAAAGCTGTGTTGTTTTTCTACCGTGCTTCATTTTGTTAGGATTGTGATGGGCAGATAAAAACTTGTTTTGGAACAAGGAGTTTTATTCTAGTGATTGAATTTTATACTTTGTTTTCTTTCCACTTGAATGCCCTCTGAATATGGTAGACTGCCACTCCCGTAATCCATCAAATAGCACAATTTGCCACCAGTGTTAAATGGAGTATTGCAGAGTTATATTTGGAAGGGATTCATTTGTCATTGTTGCCTGATAGATTCCTAAAGGAATTTAAAACAACTCACTAAATATTTTCTCATACGCTTGGAACCATATGGTTATATATAAAATGTTGTGCTAGCCATCAGACATCTGGAAGGACAGGTTGTGTAAACTCATAATGATAGACATTTTGTTTACTTACCTTAATTATGTAGCCATTTTTCATGGTTTGAACCACATTATATAAAACATACCGGTACTTTCCCAATAGACTTTGAAAACAGAGTTTCATAAATATAAATATAAATTCTGTTGGAGGTTTCCTATAGCCTATAATTTTGTTAATTTTTTTGTACTTGTATCTGAAATCCAAATAAAGCTTTATTAAATGACTCTGATGAGGTCATAAACTGCTTTCAGCATGGTCTCAGCCATTTTGGGTTGGTTTCCTATGACTTTTGTGTTTGTGTTTTCATATTTAAAATACAACATTATTGTCTATCTTTTGGGGGGATTTTATGGTTTTGGCATTGCAAAATAGAATTCTTAACACAAAACTCAATCCATAGTTGTATATCAAAAATCTCAGCACAACAATAAACTTGTACTTTGAACTGCACATTCTCATTATTATAACTTTATATACTGGAATCCATACTCTATACCTGGAAGCTTAGAATTCAAAAAGCTTAAAAAGAAACAGGACTATAATGCCCCAGAGCTATATGAAGCAAAAAAACCTAACTGCTGCTTTGTAGAGTAAAATATTTGCTGTAGACTATAGGCTCTAATTTGAAAGTCTGTCATACAACAAGTCCTCTGTTTGAAGAGTTTCTCAGTCAACATCTGGTTTAAAGGACCATAATAATAGAGAGAATGACATTACAATAGCTAACTAGGAATGCATACAGAGTATGTGGCCAAGGGCTGTCCCATTTTACTAGGATATGTAATAATTCTTTTAAAATTACAGTACTTCTATGCGTGCATCTACAGTATATAATTTGAAAATCTCCTTCAGATCTTGAATAAACACAGCTAATTTCTGTGAAGAGTCCATTTATTTTGGCTTCCATCTGATTTTTCTTTTTCTTTTTAAATGTAGCTGTTTTCAGAATGGCATTTGAAAGCAATGTCTTCTTTT